TGTTTCTTACTTTGTAAGAAAGCTCTGCTCAGGATTAAGAGCAGGATGAAGAGAGGAAGAAACATAAACACAGTTCTTGTAAACAATTTTCATGTAATATCTTGACGATATCACACTGAAAGGACCATTGATCATGAACACTGCACATGAATGAATAGCTGGTAGAATAACAAAGAGAACTCAATTTTGTTCTCTTTTCTTGAGCTGACATCAAGTAACTCATTGTCTGATTGCATATCCTGGTTGTCTCTGTAATGACTGTCAGGTATTAGCCCCAATCCCCGGGCAATTGGTACAGAAGATCTCTCACGTGCATCTTTTGGGGCAAATTGACTGCACCCTCCATGCATAACTGTTGTAGCAAAATCTGGAGCAAGTATTTGTAGTGTAAGCAATGCTCTCTTTTTCTCAGTACCTCATGGATGGCACAAGGGTTAACAAACATAGTGGCAGTGCTGAGAGCTAGAGGACCAGAGCCCTGCAGTGAGACAGGGAGTAAGACACTTTGAGAGAGGACTGAGAGAGCAGACACTTTGAAAATTCAGTCCACTTTAGAAATAATTAACTGCTCCAAAAAAGAAAAGCAGAAACTGTGATAGCAAATCTGTCTACTAGCTGTGTACTGGCCTAGGACACATTGCAATCTACTAGTGCACATCAGCACAGAATACTACAATTTTCCACCGCTGTGCTCCACAGCACCCATGTACTGCTGCTATACAAATGCACAATGTTAATTAAGAAGAAAAGTTTTGAATTGTGGACATTTATTCTGCAATAATGCTAGAGGACAGACTGGCTTGCGTATGTTAACTTGCCCGCAACAGCTCCTGTGCCCCCATACCTCACTGATTCCAAAAAGACTAGCAAGGTGCTGCCAGTATAGAGGATGAAAGCTTATGCTTTTTTTTGCCACTGTGCCTTCTTCCACTATCCCCTCTGCGGCAGTGCTTCTATACAATTTGCAGCTTCCCTAACAATGTTGTAAAGGGGTATTTCTCACGCCTGAGCTTCCTGTTTGAAAATAAGAACAGTGTGAGACCAAAGGGAACACAAATATAACATTTATTTTCTCCCATGCTGTTCTTCTACCAGTTTGCACAGATTTCACAACATGGTGCAATTGCAAGTGACAGAACTTCTGAACTGTGCTGAACAGATATTAAGGCCGTGGAGTAGCTGACTAGAGAGAGAGACATGGAAAAATATAAGGTAGGATTAGTGTTCACTATTGGCATGGTGTCAGATCAATGGTGTATTCTGCTGTGGTAGCTTCTACTTTCACTTGTCAATTCCTTCTTGGATTTTACTCTCCTCTTCCTTTTTTCATATCTCTTTTCAGAAGTCCAAAGCCTTCTGCACGTACAGAATTATCTGTTGTCATGTTGGGGTCAGCGTCCCTTTGTCTTTGCTTTTCATTTGGCAGGAACCACTGTCAGCAGAAGCACAGCATTCCAGAAGGACTGTTCCTCCAGGTTTAAAAGCATCAGTCTTGGATCCCTCTGTTCCTCACTTATGAAGTCCAGCCAGGCTCATTCAGATTTAACTCCCCTGTATCCTGCAAGAAGTCAGACCTCCATGGGTAGTCTTCTTGGGCACCTTGACTACTTCATGGCTTAAGGAATCTTCCCATTTCAAGCGTTCATCCTCCCAGGCTTCACAAATCCAATGTGCCAAACCTCAGGAGGCCTGTTCTCCCAAATGCTTACTATTGCTGTACCTCTTGCTGTTACTGATAAACCAGATAGTATATGATTAACCCGCCAATATTAAGGTTTGCGTGTTGTTTTAACCCTATGACAAGGCCTTTTTCTCATACTTCTGCAAGCAACATCTCAAATTATTTTGGCTACTTATCCTGCCCATCTTTCACTCAAAAGGAGAGATAAAACAAGTAAGCTAGGCATTTTTCTCTTAGATTTCTCATCTTTGTACTACTGCTTCAGTGTCATTGCTACGACTGACACCTCAAGAAAAAGTTGGAAATTTAGGGGCCATCCAGCCTTAATTATTTCAGTACAGGCCCATGCACCATGGTCAAAATCTCTGTTACAAGGCTGCAGCTGGCATCCAACAGAACTGAACACAAGCAGTGGCATCACCTGTGTTACAGTGTCTGGGTTATGCTTTTGTTCAAAGGAGGGTACGTTCTGTAAATATTATGGCTTCAGTAGCTGTTGCTGTTGTCAGGAGAGCTAATAAAACTGGCTGGAAGGCAAAGCACAGCCTCTTCGAGCTACTGCCTGCTAGAGCCCTCTCATCCCATATTCTTATCTCTTTTCTGGGCCCTGTCTGGGATAGAATAGCTGTATCAATAGCTGTATCAATAGCTCCTACTTCCTCACCTTTACTGGGATTCTCATCAGCTCAGGCTGATGCTCTTCACCTACCTCTTCCTTCGGGGCCATCCAGCCTTAATTATTTCAGTACAGGCCCATGCACCATGGTCAAAATCTCTGTTACAAGGCTGCAGCTGGCATCCAACAGAACTGAACACAAGCAGTGGCATCACCTGTGTTATAGTGTCTGGGTTATGCTTTTGTTCAAAGGAGGGTACGTTCTGTAAATATTATGGCTTCAGTAGCTGTTGCTGTTGTCAGGAGAGCTAATAAAACTGGCTGGAAGGCAAAGCACAGCCTCTTGGAGCTACTGCCTGCTTGAGCCCTCTCATCCCATATTCTTATCTCTTTTCTGGGCCCTGTCTGGGATAGAATAGCTGTATCAATAGCTGTATCAATAGCTCCTACTTCCTCACCTTTACTGGGATTCTCATCAGCTCAGGCTGATGCTCTTCACCTACCTCTTCCTTCCAGAGACAAAGGGAAACTTGGTTATTGAAATAACTGAAGAATTTGGTGCTTTACATTTTAGGAAAAGACCTCATTTCTTTATTTACAGGAAATACTTTCTTGAGAAACATATTACCTACACCAGCTTCTGACTGGTCAGCAGAATGACCATGTATTAAGTAAGGTCATAAAGGACCTTGATGCTTGCAGATTGCAAAACAAAACAAAGGCATATTATTTATTTTCCATTATTGGGAAAGATATAAATATTCCTGCATAGACACAAATGGAATCTTCTCACTCTCATATCACCTTAAAAACCAGAGAGCAGTCAATAATCAATAAGTCATCATAGAACATGTGCTATGCTAAACTTAGAGATTTCACTTAGGAAATGTTTTCTGGCTAAATGTCTTCTTTGTTCTAGTCTCTGTGATTTTGCTATTCAGAATTTCATTTTCAGTTTTGGATTATAACAAACACAAAGTCTCAAATCAAACCTGGAAGAAACCACTGAGTTTCTCTGAGTGTGAAATTAAACTGCAGATGGCAACATTTTTAACAGAAATGGTCAATTCCATTGACCTGACAAAAAACAAGAGGTAAACTCCTAGGATAAAATCCTCATAAAATTGCTGATAAGGTGAAATGATACCATGCTATACATTCGTGTGCAGTTCAGAATCACCAGAAAGCCCCCTAAATTTCCCCAGAGAAATTTCACTGTCAGTTGGTGGAATTTGATGCTCTTTGAGATCCTCAGTAATTACTTTCAATAATCCTTATGAGATAGTCCTATGAACACTTTGAGACAGTTTGAGATAAATTATGTAATAAAATGGAAACATTAACATTTTAAAACCGTAAATAGTCAATAGCTATGCAAATTGCATTTTTGTCCAATCAAAATGTTACAATTGTTGGTAGTCAAAAGAAAATACCTACAAAAAATGCCAAATCATTCTAAATGCTATTGCATGCCAGAATAAATAACACTTGCTATGCAGTTATATAGGCAATAGTTGGAATTACACAAGTAACCAAGGTTTTATTATTAACATGCATTTTTTCTCATTTCTTTAGACTCACAACATTTGCAGTAAACTCCTCTGTAAATAATTCTGTGTTTTATGAACTGAAAGTACAAGTCTTGAGGGTGAGCTCAGGCTTTTACTCGGGGCTTCAGTACAACCCCATTGCCCCATCTGCCCCCACCTCAAGCCTTGTGGGTGGAGGAAAGTCCCTTGGCATGAGTAAGAGTAAGCAGAAGTCTTTGAAAGCAGCAATGACATGAGAGCCCCAGGCAAACCTCTTTCTTCTAAGTGCTGTCTCTAGCAGAAGCCACGTAGAGGTACAGTTCAGGCTTCATCTCACAAGAGAGGAGCCTCTGGAAGCCAAAGCGACTTTTCAATGGCTGCAACACTGATTTTGGATTTGTTCTGTGTCTGAAACCTGAGAGATTAAGATCCCAGTTGTCCCATCCCAACTCATTAGGGAATATTTACCTACTTTGGTTACTTTAATGAGCAAGTGGTCTTACAGGTACTGGTTGTTTCAAGTGGTGCCTTCAGGACCAGATGCTCTATTCCAAAAGCCAAGGCACAATATCTCTCACTGCCTTTTTACCATATCTGGTCAACAAACATCTGCATAACCATCAGACAAGAAATAACCTTCCTCTGTCCAGTCTAACAGATAGATAAAGCCAGAACAGCAGTTAGACTTTGAAATTTGCTACTTCTACTTCAAGCCCAGTGAAGGGCTGCGTGCTTCATAATTTGTCTGTTTTTCATCTAATAAATAATATTTACTATACCAATGAAACTGAAGACCACACACTTATTGATAAATAACAGTATCTAAACATTGTATCAGCTGCTTTTTGCTTTGTGCAGATTACAGCAGAGATACTCCTCAGTCTGCATCATAGAAGTATTTTACTGTTCCTGTTTATATATTTTTTTTTGCCTGAACTGCTCTCCTTTCCCTTTCCAAAGCCCTCAGTACCCCAAGGTGCAAATTTCCTCTGCTTTAAAACTTTCCCCCTGTGTACTGGACTAGTTGCAATTATTTCCTGAAATATTTAATCCAGCAGTGTTAACTTTGGCCAGTCGAAGTAAATATAAGTGAATGAAGACAAAGTAGTAAAAATTTAACTCTGGTCACTGAAGCCAAATGCCCACTGCCATACCAGCAGGCAGGAGACAGAGACACAGACGCCTGTGATGACAAAGACACACCACACACTGGACAACCAGCCTGTAGCCAGAGATGACCGGCTTCCTATCAGACCTGGTAAGTATTTGCTGGGGTATTTACATCTGTGACATTTTTGTATGCTGCTAGTGTTTCAAAGAAAACAAAATCAGTATCTCAGTAAAAACAACAAGGATCCTATTTACTAAAAGCGTTTCAGAAGTGGTTCTGCCCACCGTTTTGAGATATTACAGATGTTTGCATTTCATTCGCTCTGCCATCTATCTCTGTCATATTTTTATCAATATGTTAATGTTTCTTAAATGTTTTCATTTACTGGAAAATATTTGCTTACTCTCAAGCATAATTTGCTTTGCTTACCTGCTGAAAAAAAAGTTTTGATAGATATATCACAAATTATTTAATGCAAGATAAGACAGGCAGAGGTTTTGAAAGGCAGGGAACAGGACTGGATGTTGGCAGCTGTGGCATCTTGATAGGGATGTTTGTGGGAGCCTGCAGCATTTATTTCCTGGCTATGGCTCAGTCTTGAAGCCTCCTACATCAGTGAGGCACTTCCAATTAGGACAATGTCTCTTTGAGAAAGAGCTCCAGCTCCTGCTGGTCACCCTTAACCTCTTGTCCAGGAAAGAGGAATATGGCAGAGCACCTCTGAAAGGCTGGCAGGTTTTCATTCATTCACAGCACTCGCTGATTCTCACAGAATTCACTAATTCTTGCTGCAAAGGCTGCTGTCGTGTAAACCTAAGTGCTGTGCTGGTTGTCTATTTTTGAATCTGTAACGAACTAGAAAAAAATCGAAGTGGGATGCCTGTTCTCAAAGCTCCCAAGAGGTTAAGATGACCTGCTGCTCGAGACAGGCAGGAGGGGCAAGAGTTCAAAACTGATGATGGTAAGAAGAGCTAGAAAAGACACTGTTCTCCTACAGTGCAGTTTGAGCAGAATCAGGGCAGAAGGGAAATTCTGTCCTAAGACTTTGCCTTGTTGTTCGCTCCTCTCCATCTATGTAAAAAAACCATGGATTTCCAAGGGTTGCCACACCCAGACAGAAGCCAGAGTGGAAAAACATGCTAAAAGCATATGAGTCTCTTTTTTTTTTTTGCCCATTTCAGACTCCTTTTTTAAAATTTTAGCTGTTGCGGGCAATTTCAGGAGGCTTTGCCACACAGCTTGAGTTGAGGGATCTCTTCCCACTATTCAAGGGCCTGAAGGGCAGCGAGCTTCTGTGTCAGACAAGATGGGAAAGGTCTGGACACAGAGGACCTGGTCACTACTGTGGGCACAGGTCTGAGCTGCAGATAGCCTGTCTGCTGTCCCGATAGCGGACAGAAAAATAAGACCTCCCTCCCCAAAACCACTCTCCCATGTATTAGCTCTGGAGTATGGAATCATCTTCAGCTTGCTACTCTATTGACTAATTATCAAGGAGGGAAGAGAAAGGTAATAAGGTTGCATTTCTTTGAGTTGTTTGTAGGGAAGTCCCAGGAGGATGTACACTTCACACCAGGGCAAGAAGAGGGAATATGCCTAATTGCAAATCCCTTGAACAACTGAGATGCTTCTGGAGAGTGAAAGACACATTCAAAGAACAGCCTGGTGTGGCTACAAGCTTAAAAAGATTTTGTTTTACCTCTGCAGGTACAGTACCAGGGGCTCTTTCGAATGGTCACTGTCCTGGGGATTGGTGGAACATTCCAAATTGGCTTTCAAATTTCTACAATCACCTACATGTCTCAGGTAGGCAAAGATGCACATGGCACACTGAATAACAGTGGCACTTAATCTAAATCCATGCATGAGGATGCTCCTCTCTGGCAGTCAGCAAGGCCTTAATCACAGTAGCCTCCTCCCACAATTCTTTCCCATTACTAGGCTATCATGTAAAGCAGAATGTGTCAAAGTGTTGAAAACAGAAGAAAAGAGAGACCTGTAAGTTGTTGTTTATAGAACCATTCCTCAGAAGGCGCACACTGACAGGGGTGGCCTATAAATGTACAGCACATGTGCCTACTTCAGTGATCTCATTTGACACTATTCTTCACTACAAGTCTGTGCCTCATTTTCTCAGATTTCAAGGACAAAACACCAAAGAATGAACTTCTAATGGCAAAATGAACCACCATAGTCTATTACACTGTCTATTAGCTAATGCACACTTTTAGAATCTGTATGAAATAGCAACTTCAGCTGAAGCCACAAAACTATGTTCTAAATATAATAAAATACATGCACTGGAGTCACAGTTATTGTTAATGAAAATTCTTTTTTCTATTTCAGCATGTTAAGGCTTTCATTAATGAAACATGGCTAGAGCGCTATGGCTACCCCATCCATCAGGATAACCTCTTGTTCCTGTGGTCTATCACTGTGTCCATCTTTGGTATAGGAGGTCTCTTGGGTTCTTCAGGAAGTAGATACCTAACTGTCAAGTATGGCAAGTAAGTATGTTTAAAGTCAATTTGTCAATTGAATTTTAGCTTAAGGAAATGCCAATTGAGGTTTAGAAAGCGAGACGGACTTTTAAGCTTAATCATGGCTGTAATATAGCCAGCTTAGCAGTGCTGTCAACAGACTTTGCTGCTTCTTGCCCTTGATCTGTGGCTTGGGGTAATCAACTGTGCTGCCAGCCTGTCACACCAGACACAGTTACTCAGGTTGGGTTAGTCTTGGCAAGGAGGAAAGGGAGGTCCCTAGCTGAAGAGAGAATGGGTTTCTTGGAGGTGCTACTCAAAATACAGCAGCATTGACATGCTCCTAAGTGTTCCATTAATGTGTGTCATAATGGATTTTCAAGTGCAGAAATGCTTTAAGACTTTTCTCCACTTCAAAACCCAGAAGCTTTCCCCAACTGCCAGGTCTAGCCATGTGCCAAGGCACAGCACGAGTCCAGAGTACCCAGTGCCAATAGTGTGGAAGGGTTTATTTTCTCCTGGACCACATATGTATAATTTCACAAAACCAGCAAGACAATTTCACCCAAAACATCCTACATGCCAGGAGCTTAAGTGCCATCTCCCTTCTGATTTACAAAAATTCTTTTTACTTTCTTACACTTACAGAAAGAAATGTCTCTTGTGCAACAATCTGCTTATGATAGTGGCAGCATCCATCATGGGATGCAGTAAAATAGCCCGGTCCTTTGAGATGATTCTAATTGGACGCTTCATGTGTGGAGTAAGTGCAGGTAAGTGATTTCTCCCAGGGATCAGCAGGCTCTCCCAAAATTTTATGTCACTATTTGCTTCATGCAAAGATCTTATTTTTGTTAAAGAGATTGCATATCTCCATTGCTTTGATATCACATAAAACCAGGAGCTGAACATGTTGCTTTCAAAACAGATAAAAGGGGCTGTGACCATCATAACAGTAAAAAACTCTTATTCCCACGCTAGTTTTCAGCCTGCCTGTACTGCATTAATACCTGGAAACATCAGCTCTTCCTGAAGTCATCAAAATAATTGCTGGACAGTGGAAAAGAAATGCTTGTGTCTCCCCCCAAATCGTGGACAAATCAACATTGATTATAGCACAGTATATTTTAATCTGCTATGGATCTACCATACAGCTATTCTATAGCATTGTGTCAGAAAAGGCTGAGATGATCTGGGTTAACTACAAGCAAACTAAATACTTCTACAGAGCTAATTATTCAGCACTTACATACTCCGTGTCCTTTAAAACAGGCTAAGACACACAAGAGATACTATGTTGAGGCTACACCTACACCCCAAAGGGAAAACTGTACATTTCTTAAGACCTGTGCACAGAGGACAGGAATCAAACACTTTTGTAGAAAGGGTTAGAAAATCCAGTCCTGAAAAATCTCATCCGTGATTTGAGGTATGAGCAACAGTTTGGTGCATGAGGCAGCTATATTTTGTAATGCTTAATTATTTACATGCAATTTTATTTCCAGTTGCTTATCAATAACTTCTTTCTTCTCTAACATAATTCTCTCCTCACCCCAAGGTCTTTGTGTTCCTCTACATCATCAATACGTTGGGGAAATTTCCCCTAGGAAGCTACGTGGATTTGCAAACTCTACTTCCTCTTTCTTTTGGTCACTGGGAAAAGCCGTAGGGCAAATTTCAGGACAAAGGTATAATACAATTGATTTCCCACCCAATTAATTTCTGTCTCTCTACCTTTTGCTTCTTCCTCTGCTTTTCCATCCATTCTTTTCTCTCCTCAAAACCAATGCAGTAAACTTTTATTCTACACACACATTCTATCCCCGCCAGGGAGCTGCTGGGCAGCCAGTCCCTCTGGCCCATGCTGATGGCCTCCTGTGGACTTCCAGCACTGGTCCAGCTGGTCACTCTGCCCTTCTTCCCCGAGTCTCCACCATATCTCCTCATGCATAAAGGAGACCAGGAGGGCTGCAAAAAAGGTAACTGAGGGCTCCAGGTTCCTGTTCCTCACTTGACTTGTGATGTTTGCTTTCTTTTTATGGAAAAAAAAATAAGCAGGACAAAGTTTTTCCTTGCTCATTTCTAAGATGACTCTGTGAATACCTACTAAGTATATTTTTGTTGTAGTCCCCACATCAAACATGAAACTACTTCTCTTTACAGTTCTGAATTACAAAACCTTTTGCATTCAGCTGACACCACTTGTGCAGTCAGTCTGATGATAAATGATAAATGGCTGTTTGCACTGCAGGGTTCCATAAGGCACCCCTCAGCTCTGGTTGTTGGCTGTGTACCCTGCTGATACCCTGAGAGAAGGAGGAAGGGAGAAAAGTGAACCCATGGGCAGGGAGGGACTCACTGTGCACCCCACTGGGCTTCTGTAACAGAACAGGTCCCTCTGTGCAGGAGGGGACTAGGGCTCTGGAACACACTTTAGAATATCTCTGCCTCACACCACAGCCACAGCCCATGCATGCTGTGCTGCTAAGCACTTGCATCACCTACTCAACAAGCTCCTTAGGCAACAAACAAGAGATGGATTAACATGGCAGGTCTCACTCTCCTTCTCCTTCACAGCCATAAGGCAGCTTTGGGGTGAAGGCCATCACCAAGCAGAGATTGATGACATCATGAAAGAGAAGGCAACAATGAAAAACACCAAGATCTTGAGTGTCCTGGAGCTAATGAAAGAACCAGCTTTCCGTTGGCAGCTGTACATGATAGTTATTCTGACCGCCACAGTTCAGCTATGTGGCATCAATGCAGTTGAGTGTATTTCCCCCTTAAAGACTCAAAACACTTATTGACAACCTTAAAGGAGACATCATTGCTCCCAGGAGTTCCCTCCATTTTTCTCAGACTTCTCAGGCCACAACTTGCAGCCCTGCTACAGGGCAGCAGCAGCAGTCTGCAAAGCTTGGCCGGGCTCTTCATGTGACATTCCTTTGCCCAGCTCTTGGTCCTTGCTGGTGTCACCTTCCTCAGTAGTTAGGCTTATTTAGCAGCCATTTTTGGAAGCTGTCATAAGGCCCCAGAACCCGCTTTTACAAATGAGCCTACCCTATATTGGCAATGCAGTTTTATGTTATTGCTGCTATTTGTCCCCTGGCTCTTAGCATCCTAAGATGTCGGGATGGCAGTGTGCTCACTCTACCTTTAAAGCTAATCAACAAGCATGCTCACCGTTCTGGCAGCTTCTGCAGTTCTCCTCCTCTTCCTCACAGCAGCACTTTTCTGCGATTTTTTTGAAGCCACAGCTTTGCAATTGCTTGCATGATTCTTCTAACATCACGGTGAAGCAACATCTGCAAAGAAAATACACAGCTGAGTCTAACAGAGCTTAAACTGGAATCTTTATCATCTCAGCACACCTCCCAACAGTAGAAGAGATACTTGAAAAGAAAAGATGCTTATTTTACCCCCTCACGGCTCCATAATACATGCTCTTCTTTCTTGAGAAAAAAGAATATATCCTACAATAATGCTTCTGGACAGTCTCTAGAAGTGACAAAATACCTGGATGTTTCTGAAAGCACCTAAATCCAGACTCTGTAAACTTAATTACATTGCAGCAGCTGGAAGTCCTTTTATCTCAGCATTTTATCTTTTATAAAATTAATTAATTAATTACATTTTACAATGTTTTTGTCTGATAAAAAGTGAATACTACAAAAAAAGAGTGTAGAATTCTAGCTCACTCCAAAGCCGAGCGGCATGTTCCTTGGTTAGCAGCTCCTATCTAGGGCAGTGTCACACAGGTATGGGTAAGAAATCAGCTATTTTCTTCTCTTACTGTTTTATGGGGTTTTTTCCAGATCTATTTTTATACTTTTGAAGTCCTCCAGGCAGCTGGCTTTGATGAAAGAATGATATCCTACATGACCCTCTCTGTTGGGCTCTCTGAACTTGTAGCTGCTGTAGTTTGTGTAAGTCACATTATGATGGGAATGGGTCACAGTTTGTTCTTTTGGCACTAGTGCCAGTGTGATTTCTGTCCTTCAGAGCTCCATCATTGAGCGACTGGGCAGGAAAGTGCTCATAAGAGGAGGCTATTTGACAATGGGTTCACTGCTAGCTGGCATCACTGTTACTCTCTCCCTACAGGTAAGGAAACTCTTCTCACGGCAGACCTCTTTCCATTATCTATTCTATTTCTAACCTCTGCTCACAGGCAGGACCATGCTACTGAGAAAGGAAAGTGAGGCTTAGAAGTGTCAAAATAACTTCTGTGTTAACAGCTTACCCTCTGGGACAGCTAGAGGGCTCACAGCAGACCTCTTTCCATTATCTATTCTATTTCTAACCTCTGCTCACAGGCAGGACCATGCTACTGAGAAAGGAAAGTGAGGCTTAGAAGTGTCAAAATAACTTCTGTGTTAACAGCTTACCCTCTGGGACAGCTAGAGGGGAATATCCTAAAAATCAAGTTTATCTATGCATAAGAGTAAACCCTCTCTCAGCAAGTACTCTCTTGTACTCCTGCCTTCCTTTCAACATGATCCCATGAGCTCAGCAAGGAGTACATAAAACACTTGGAGTCCAGCACTAATTCCTGATTTCATCAGACTGCAAGAACCAAACAGTGGCCAACATGAATCAGAAGACAGTCCTAAGAAAATGGCCCTTTTTACTCACGCAGTTTTTAGCAAGTAACCAGAAAAACCCAGAGTCTTTCCATCAGTTAATTTGAAATTTAACTTTGCTGCAAAAGATATTGGGAGTGCATGTATCTGTTCACAGACTGTAGACCAGTTCACTTCTATAAAACTGTGTCACTGCTGTAGCTTCTTCAGAAGCAAGTCTCCTGGGTTACTGGTATTCATCCAAAAGCTGCTCTACAGATACTGCTGTAAAATTAGCCTTGAAGCAAGGTGGCAGCAAACTTCCAGTTTTGCTTCATTCATGAATGATCTCAAACACAGGAGACAGAAATGTTTTTCCCTAAAGTATCAAGTCTCGTATCTTCTTGACTAAGATCTAGGAAAGTTTCTTTTCAGTATCAGTTATCGAACCTACCACTTAACAAAAGTAAAGAAAGATATGATATGGCATTTCCATATCTCTAAGTAATGGGGGAAGCACTGAGGGGTCAAGAACAAAGGAGGACATAGGGTGGAAAAGTACTATTCAGACTTCTTTTAATTGAATTCTTCTAAGCTTGACAGTTGTTCTATGCTAGCAAACCTGCTCCTCTAATCACCTAACAGAAACCTCACTGCTCTGTCCACAGGAAAAAGCACTCACATTTCTCTGCTAGTTCCCACACACTGTATATTTTTTCTTGGGTTGATAGTGTTAGAAAACAAACAGCATTTTTCACCTACTGTGTTTAACAGATTTCACCGAGAAGTTTGTTACAGTTTTTCGGGTTTGTTTTTTTTTTTTTTTTTCTCCAGGACTGGTATTTCTGGATGCCATACTGCAGCCTTTGTCTGATTATTTTGTTTGTAGTTGTTTTTGGAGTTGGGCCAGGTAAGCGTTCATTCAAAATAGCAAAATACTAGCAAAATACTGCATAATATTGCATAACATTTAGCATAAGTAAATTCATTTTACCTAATCTGTTCATTCAAAATAGCAAAATACTGCATAATATTGCATAACATTTAGCATAAGTAAATTCATTTTACCTAATCTTGTAGTCATTTAGACATCATGGGTCCAATCATTGGCCACAAACTTGAATGCCATCAGGTTTGGGTTTTGCTAACAACAGGAAAGGAACACAGCAAAAAAAGCACTCACTGGAAAAATACAGCGAAAATAGAGCAAAAGCAGATGGGTAAAAGATATTATTATTTTTTTAATACTAAAAAAAAAGAAAAAGAAAAACAATAGTTCTTTTAAATTCAGTGTTGTGTAATGTTACAACTTATCCCACATAGCAGTTCAGAAGACATAATTTTGAGTAATTCTTTTCCTAGCATATAGTACTTGTTCCTCTTTAATTATTTTTTTTTAAAGCCTATTAATTTTTAAAATATTTGCCTTCCCATATGGCAGGGTTGAACTATTTTCCTAACTCAAAGCTGTCAAAGTCCTCTGACTTCAAAACCTAACTGAAATGCCCAGAAAGTGAATCCAGGAAGATCCTTCATTGGTGATCCAGCAGTACCATGCTGGGAATTCTTGTTAGTAATATTAATTGCTATTCCGTCCTTACACAGCTTCTTTCATGAGAAGATGTCAGACTTTCTCAAGCGTTGACTACTTAATTATTCAATCTCCCCAATAAATGTATTTGAATAGTTTGCCACTCTAATAAACTGATGTCTAGCAGATTAAAAGATGCCACAAGCATTTTCTTTTCTAAAAAGGAGTGACATACTCAAGTCTTTTGAATGCCAGCCCATGACAGTAGCCTCTATTTACTGACTGTGTAACAGTAACACTCAGTCCAAATGTTCAAATCGAACACATCAACAAGTAATAATTCTTATTCTTATTTCCTTTCAGCTGGTGCCACAGTTTCCATTAGGGTTGAAATTTTCAAGCTCTCATGCAGACCCCCCGCCTTTGTGATCAGCGCAGTTATGAACTGGATGGGCGTCTTTGTGATCGGAACAACCTTCCCATTCATTGTGGTGAGTGACTGTCCCTGGGACACTCCCCAGGGGGCTGAGCTCAAGTCAGCCATGGGAGCAGGAAGAAGAGCAGCAGCAGATGACTATGCCCTGTTAGTCTAGAGTGGCCTTGGCACCTGCTCTCCCCTGTCCACTTTTGCAACTGAAGGTCCCTGATTTGCCCAAGGTACTTATTCAGACCAAAATATTTGTTAAAGGTCAAAATGCAACGAACTCCTTATCAAATTCAAAATCCTTTGGGACTCAAATACAAAAACTGTGCCAAGAAAGCGACCAAAGAAAAGATATGCTGCTCTTGCTCACTTTCTCATTTTGCTCTTCCCTGCAGGAAAGACTCAAGCACTTCTGCTTCCTCATCTTTATGGGGGTACTTTTCACTTCAGGGATAATTATCCACCTATTTCTTCCAGAAACAAAAGGGAAATCCATCGTGGAAATCACAGAAGAATTCAATAAGCTAAACTTTAAAAAGAAGCGTATTCCGACAACTCCACATCATGTCACAGAGGATCACACCTTCTGCACCAGGCTTTGACCAGCCGTTAGGGGGAGTCAGGTTTTCTTAAAAGGGAGGAATAAAAAAAGACATTTGTCATTTTCTGACTAGCAAGTCGGTTCAAATGCACTATCAGCTTTCATATTTGTCACTTACAAGGTTCCCATTTTGCCAAACCAGCACCTTTCTCAAGCACTCCACTCTGGGCAGCTTAGAAAAAGGATGATGGCTGATACTAACAGGATAGACTCGTGTGAATCATGAGTATTTTAGCTCAACTTGCTGATGTGTAAATCTCTTCTTAACAGAGCAACTAATACACACTGAAACTACATGTAGAATTTATAAACACTCTGCTGACCACAGAGAAAGGGAAGATCTGCGATTCCCTCTCTCTCTCTAATTTCTGAGAGTGTTTTTACAACCCCGAAATGGGAATAGTAAAGTTCTTGGCTTGCTATCTCTGGCTAGGGTTCAATCCATAACAGATTAAAGAAAAAATTTAGTGGAATAGGAGAGTAATTCTTTGTTTCTCTAGACTCAACTGAATTATCAAACCTTGCCAGGTTCCCATGCACAATGCCATGTTGTCCTTGTGTTATATCTAGTTTGACAGACTTCAGCCCTTTTGGACTGAAGTTTTCCATGTCAGCAGCCATCCTTTCTTTGACTTAAATTTAATTTTTTGCTAAAAAAATCAGCCATTTGATTCTAAGCTCAGACTCGTTAATGAAAAAGCATGGGGAAAAAGTTGCTATACAGTTCTTCTCAAGGAATAGTGCCTTTCAATGGCAATACAGCTAAAGGACACGTGGGTGGAAACCAGTTGCCATAAACCACAAGCACCTAGAGTCACTTTAGATGCTCTGTGCTATCTTGCCCATCACCGCCATCATCTTGAATCTGTAGCTCAATTTCCAGGATCAGAGTTCCCCCAGATGTCTCATAGACTGGGAATCCCATAGCAATTTAGCCACTACTTGCCTTTGGGTGATTTTCAGCTACCTGGACCAAACTTACCCCAGAAGAAATGCCCCAGACTGGAACTCCTGGCTGTAATAGAACAGCTGTTGCTTTACAGTTTCTCTTATAGACATCTGTACAGTAGCCTACTGTATGTATAGCAGGCTGTCAGCAAAAGCTCAGTCACATCCTCAGCTCTTGGATACATGCAGGGCTCCTGTCTGGGGTGTGTTTCTTTATCATGACTAAGAAGTGATCACATATACTCAGATTTCAGGGATGTGCAATCAGTACAGACTCTTCAGTTATTATTCACTGCAAGTGTAGATACTGATTGACAGCTTTAGAAATGACTGTAAATATTTTATGCCTTGAATACTTTGTCAGAGTCATACAGCTAGGTAGGATTTACAGTAAAAGTGGGAAGTGTAATTCTGATGTAAGGAACTTCTAAGGCTTTCATCTAAGCATTTCCAACAACAATTTATGGTTTAACTTACAGTCTCTCATAGGAGTTCTGCCAATTTTTACAAGTATGTTGTGTGCATAAAGATAAGGAAACAAAGAGAGAGAATGTGTTAAAATGTATCATATGCAAGTTTTCTAACTTCCAGATTTAGTGTGGTATACCATAGCCAATGATCCCTCTTGGAGGAATGGATGCAATATAATTTTCTACACTGATCTATAATCAACATCTGTGCTTGAGTTCACATACTGCAGGCTTTCAAATTGAGTTCACATTGCTTGAGTTCACATACTGCAGGCTTTCAAACTGTGAATGATCTTCAAGGCACTCTGATATCGAGTTCCTAATTCCTCTTCCTGCCATACATTGTTAAAGGTAAAAATAGTTTGTGAGCCTTAAAGGATAGCCTGATCTACTTGTAAAGTACCGTAGGCATTAATTGCACCAGAAACTTTTTTTGAGATATGCAAACTTATGGACTTTTCTTTAGAAGGTATCTAATATTCTGCACGTTTCCCTTTATTAATGAGAGGCTCACACAGTCCTAGTAGCAAAGCAATGCTATTAGGAAGAACAGGAACAAAGCTAAGGCTCACAGTGGAGCACACAATACAAATGAAAATCCAAACTCTAGATTGCACAGTAAAATAAGTGTGTTTATCTCTGATACTGGTTTGACTAGCATATTTACTTCAATTTAAATAAGTTTATTAAAACTATGAATTAAATTGTTCATCTTAACTGCTGCTTATTTTTAATTGGAAACGTTAAACATAATAAAAATGGCAGCTTGCCTTGTAATAAAATTTCTGGCCTCCACAAATGTTTCTTTTCCAACATCAGGATCTCCCTTAGGGACAGATGACAAGAAAATAAGTTAATGGTGTGCGTACCCTTCCTTGATTTGGGTTTTTCATTATTCCTCTCTCCAGTATTGAAGGGCACTTAAGACTTCCACTAAAAGATAATCTACAAAATATGAACTGTCCTTAAAGTCAGAAAAGTTTAATAATTTTGTAGTGTTCCATATACAAATATATGATTAAAACCTAACAGTTGTTTGGAGACAACTACCAATATAGAGAGGAAATCTCAACTTTTTGCAAAACAGAATTATCTTTTTCTAACCAGTCATTCTGAAAACATCTCTCATTCCATTACAACAATACCTGAAGTCTCTGGAAACATAAGCAGAGTGGCATTATGTAGCATTGCTGGAGTGACTCACTAGTGAACCACTTCTCCGATGTCAGTTATTCATTAGATGTCATTAGGAAAGCCTTCCCATAAGACCCTCCCCAGGAAGCAAGCGGATGCCCTGTGGAACATTCATGTGACAACGAAGCGGAACAGCTATTTGGACCACAGGTCAATCTTCGCCTGTGCTCAGTGGAGCAAGAGCTGTGTTCTGGTAACTGTCTGGTCAAGGGAGGAAACAGCAAAAAGGTATGGTTCAAATATACATGGGAGGTGACAGAGACAAAGAGGACAGTCATTCAGAAGTTTCAGGAGCACTACATGTTCATTTTCTTCCAAAGACACCAGCTGATAGGTAAAATATGTCTCAAATACTGACTCTAATTGAGGCAGATGTAAACACTTACAAACTCGATCAGTCAACTGCTATCAGCTAGATACACACAAAAAATCTGATCTGGTTGGCCTGTATTAAGGAAGGTTTAGCACAGCTTTGCATATGTGTGTCACACATGACTGTAAAATTGCAAGAAAAATGACTAAATGGCCTGATGTGGGGAGATTTACTGTACTGATCACAATTATAAGTAAAAGATACCTGTAAGATTTCTGCTAACTCGTTGTTAGCACTAATTATCAAAATGCACATCTAATAAAGGGGGCTTCAGCACATGTAATAAGAGCACAGAAGCAGTACAGAAACTAAGCAACATAAATGCAAAAGACATTATGCATTAAGGGCATTTTGGGAGGAAGACTTTTAACTTACCAACAGTAGGAATCCAAACTTAAAGTACAAGAGCAAAGAGTAAAAGCTACAATATATATAAAGAATACTAAATAGAGGTGGGTGAAGTAGAGCATAAGAAAACATGTGCAACAGGCTGCATCTGAGAAGGTATGCCCCGTGCTGGTAGCTACCTATTATTGCCTGCTTGTGTCTTCTCCCAATATCATCTAATCAAGGCAGATACTAGCAGCTAACATGGCATTTCTTTCCTTTGTCAGATGCTCATTATGTTGTTTCAACTTTGCAGGACTTTACAGAAGAGGAAATTAACTCTTAGCATCAAAGGAACAGTCTATGTTCCGTCAAAGGAACGTAAGTTCTGACAACAGCTTTCAGCAAACATCACCAATGAGTCAACTTCCCAATGAGGACCTCAGAACAATGAGAGAAATGGCCTGGTGGTGCGACATCCTACATTTCAGACAATTGCTAGAGAATCTGTGAATATTCTTTGCATGTGATGTATTTTCTAGTAAATATGACTGATTGTATCCAATAAGCCTTTTATGATTTCTTCATCCTCATCTTCTTTAACGGAAGTGTATATGGCGAATGATAACTAAGCCATTTACCTACTAAATACATGTAAGCCCCTCTTAATTATGAAATAAATGAAGTTAAAGCCTGATAATTTTCAGTCTGAAGGAAGAGACATCAATCCAGCTATGGAGCTACAGGACAGTTTGAATCTTTCTTTCATCACAGACACAGAAATAAATATACTGACTAATGGAAATGTCAGACAAAACTGTACATGATGTTGAATCCTCCTCTCCCAGCAAAGGAAAATCAGCCACGATTAAATATTTAGCTAGTCAAGCTTGGTGTGCCACTGTAGAATCATTAAGTTTGCACCCCATTCCAAAATGATGGAGCATTTCTATTCCTTTAAGTAATCATTAAGTTACAATGTGCTCCAGTTGCTGTCTCATGAAGAAATAATAGCTCTTTTTTATTATATGTCAAAGTCCCATAGTTCACTGTCCAAGCCCCATCTAAGATTCCCAACAGATAACTTGGTCTTTATGTTTTCCAGCTTCTACTGAAAACTAAGCAAGTTACAATTATTGGAATTCTGTTTAAAATTGATATCTCAATTCCCTATCCCCCAAGCACAAGACAGAGTTCATGAAGTATACAGGTTCCCTGCAAGGGAGACCATACTGTTTACTTGGGCCAGATAAAACCAGTGGTTGAAATATTTAATCCAACAATTCTAAACTTTGTACAACAGCTGAAATATGTGTAATTAACTCAAAACCCTTTGAAGTAAAATTTAACTTCAGTAACATGGGACTAGTTCACTGACGTTGCTATTGCATAATGCAAGCATTTGGTTCTTTTGGCAGGTACTAGCCAGTAAAGCAACAGAAATCAGCTCTTCTATAGGAGATGGCCACCTTCTTCTCTGACCTGGTGAGTATCTGGTCACTTTTTCTCAGACTTATAAAGGACAAAGCTAACATAGTACTAAAGATTCAGGTTCCTTAAAGATTTGGGACAGCAACCATCTTTCTCTTCTGCATTTAAACATCACCAGGAACAACAGGGCTTGGGGCCATGAAAATCATGTTGCATGGTCTTTTCCATGCAATAAAATAAAATAAAATAAAATAAAATAAAATAAAATAAAAGCTAACAAAAGTCCTGGCAGTTCCACCACTGACAATGCTACTCCACTTTTGTCTTCTGAATTACTGAAAATAATAATAATTATTAAGCACTCTGATTAATTCCCAAAGTAATGAATATATTAATGGTACAGCAAAAGACCTTAGCCATAAGCTTTAAAATGTCACTTTCCTCATTTCATCTAAAGATAATTAATATCATCCATCAAGTGTTTCCATAGTCTTAAATAGGGAAGAAGTAATAACTATTTATTGCTCTATTTCTCAACTGCCAGCAAGTAGTTATTTTGCTTTCCTTTTTAAGTGTTAAAATTGTTAATTTGTAAGTCTAGTGAAAAAAAAAAAAGAGTGAGAAGGTGAGTTCTTAATTTGCCTTAATACTTTTGCCAATTAGCAAAGCCATTAAATTTGAGACAGGATTTTGAAGGAAATTTAAAGTCTTCTGATCCATAGCTTCTTCATTCTTGTCATGTGATAACTTGGGAAATCCAGTGGTGGAGTAGCTAAATAATAAACTCTTGAAAGACCGTCCTACGAACTATGAAAAGGAGCGTTCTAGTATCTGCCAGTCTGGCATTATTCACACTTGCATTATTTTGTTTCTGGCTGGTTGCATTTCCTACCAGCTTCTCTTCATCCAAGCACTGATCTCCAAAAAGCTGTGAGCTCATGAAGTTTGTATCTAACATGAAAAGAACACAGAGCACAGTGTCCTCTGTACAGAGATGATGTTACTGTCCCGGTATGTGATGTGCTGAATAAAAAGGGAGAGGCAGTTAAACCCCAAAGGATGCTGCACAGATCCTGATGGGGCTAAAATCACAATTGTTCTAGGTTTGGTCTGCTAGGTACAGTCTAAGCTGTTTGAGGATAACTCCATCTGGCCTTGCAGGCATTTGGAAACAGGACAGATAACCAGTGGTATCACATACCTCAAAAAGCTCTAAGCAGTTATAAATTATGTTTCTTTCTTATTTACAGTTAAAATTGTTTCATTCATCAAAGCAGCCAGGATATCTCAATCCCTAATCCTTCAAGATCTTCAAGATGCAAGAACATAACTTCATGGTTAAAAAAATAGAAAAATAAAATATTAAGAAAGGAGAAATTAAATACCAAGTCAGTAAGGAAGATTTTTGTTTTAATGCAACTATAGAGGCTGTTCCAAATTATTCTATGTAGTCCATGCCTTTTTGAAAAAGTTGAATGTTAAAAGGATCTTTTCTTTATTATGCTTAAAGATATGACACAAAAATGAAAGCAGAGAGTAAAATAAAATGTTGATTTTTTAATGCTATACTTTTGTGGCATAACATTATGGCTTGATGTATGTAGGTTACTGCAGATTGCAGCCAAGGAAACTGATTCCCTCTTCCCCACATCCAGGACTGCCAACCTGTCAGACACTGCAGGCACACAGTGAAAGCTGTACTGTCAGCAACATCTTTTAAAACTATTTCTCCTTGCAAGCAAAGTGGTGGATTATCACTCTTATACTAGTACTTAGTCTTGCTATGGCACTGTGGCTGTTTGTACTTTGGCAGTAATTCAGAGGTATTTTGAAAAAATGTTTCAATCCAATAGGATTTGAAGCAGACAAGGCAGGTTTCCAG